CTTGCCATTGCTGGAGTTCCCTGCAGCCGCGACAATAACCTCTTGCGTGATCTGGACGTCTGCGCCGCGACGGTCGAGGAGGAGCGTCATGATATCTTTGCCATTCGTTCCACCTGCGACTAACACTTCTATACTCCGAAGTTCTGCTCCACGCTGGAGCAGGAGAAGCTCCATCAGTGCTACTCCACTCTTCTTGTTATTAGCTGCGGCTATCACTACCGCTCTAGTAATCTCTACTTCGATTCCACGCTGCTGTAGGAGAAGTTGCATCACTTCCGGCCCACCTTCCTCATTGTTTGCTGCGGCTACCACTACTGCTTCTGTAATCTCAATTTCTGCTCCATACTGCTCCAGGAGGTTCAGCATTTCCTTCCCATCTTTTCCATTTGCCGCTGCAGTCTCAACGGTTTTCTTTGTGTTTACAAGCTGACTTGTGCCGGATGTAAGATAAATTCTATTTTTGTCGAAGTATGCTTTGCGCAGGGAAGGCAGCGTGCGTATTAAGCTCTGAAGACTGGCGTAGGAAATTTCCGAATGCTCCAATATAAACACAGCAGTATTGCAGATGACTTCTTGGACAGTTTTATTGTAGTCTGGACGTAGGTAGCGGGCTTTTCTTGAATCGGAGGATATTCCAAGCAAGGCATAAACCAAATCTCGTGGGTCACCAGCTTTGCTATTGCTGAACTTCTGCAAAAGGGTATGCAGATCTCTCTTCTCGTTCCACCATGAACCTTGTCTTGACTGTCCAGGCATGATGTCTAAGACAGCTTGACAAGGAGGCATGATGCCTAAGACATCTTGACAATGATCCTTTGCCCTTAGTAAAGGAGCAAGAGCAAAGAAATACGCTGGAACTGATCTGCTGCCGCAGCGTACTGAGGCCCTCTTTGCGTTGGCCACTTCTTGGAGGATCCATACCCTTTCAAACCAAGGCCGGTTCAGAAGGAGGTCTAGACCTTTATCGTGTAAAGCCGGAAGATTTGGATGTTGACGCTCCAGTTTGTGTCGCACTGATGACCAAAGAGTGGTCCAGCGCTCGTCTGCAAGCTTCCAATCTCTACAGGCGTACTTTAAGCTCTCATTCCTAAGTTCCTTAAGAGAATCCATAAGGACATTCGTCTCATATTCTGCAGTGCCTAACCAGATGATCACCTCCTCAGCTTGGGAGTATATCTTTGTCATTTGTTGAACCTGATGTCCCCGTTCTTCCTTGTTGTCTTGGTTAATGCAGATTGCGTCAACCCAAAGGATCTGATCTGTGTCTTCCCTACGCAAATGTTGAAGCGCCAGGTATAAATTCTCTGTGATACCAAGCATCTTTCCATTAACCGTCACAGCTGAAGACGTTACAGTTCCGCCCCATGTATACGATAATGCATGATAAGGTATCAGGTCATCGCCGTCGAAGTAAGCTTGAAAGAGCCCGCATTCGATATTGTTTTGCCCACCGCCTCTAAAAAGTCGCAAGAGTCGGAATGCGGGGCGTTCGAGATCGATCGGCTCGTAGATTTCCATTTTTGCCGTGCATGGAAGGCCTTCCTCCTTAACTATAAGACAAGGCTCGGAAACCTAGGGTGTGTTACTGGAATACTGATCTTTCAGAGCTATGGGGATGACAGGGGCGCGCATGCAAAGGTCTTCGGCAGGAAAGATCGAACTTGACGAACGTGTGCTTAATATATGATGAGTGGCGGGGCACATCATCGCCTGGATCAGCCTGACTCTGATTTACGAGGCAAGCTAAAGGTAACACAAGAGCTCAGCCATGAAGCAGGGCGCAGTAATAGTCTAATCTAATTATCGGTATATTGGCGGAACGCCATTGTTGCACGAAGCTAGAGAGGCTCTGCATGCCTTTTGCAAGGCTGAGAAAGCGGGAGGTCAGATACCATAACACTAGTAGCCTAGAACTGCGCTCACCGAAGAAAATAGTCAGCAAAAGTGGTAATTACGGGCATCAGAATTCAAGAGTATCTATTGAAACCTACGTTCTCCAGTAGAGCTTATAAACAGCTGGGTGAGCGAGATGGCTGAGGCAGGGAAAAAGCAATACTTGACTCAGCCTCGGCGCGAGGCGCAGCAAATGTGGTATCAGCCTGAAAGCCCCTATCAAGCTACTCTGAGTTAGCACGATTCTTGTCTCAGCGCGTCAGATTGGCGTAAAATTGAGCGACTTTTACGCTCCACTGTTAAGGATCTCGCCACTGAGGAAGCTCAGCCAGACAATCCATTCAATCTCTGCACGAAAGCAACTCCTAGAGCACGAAAACTAGGGCCTACGAGAGGCGCTTAAGACAAGGTAACGGCGTCAAATAAAGGGTAGGACTCTACCGCTCGAGCAACTAGATGAGTGGCGTGGAGGAGCTGCTTTCTGGTCCCCTGCCCGCGTACAGAGAGCTCGCTCCTCTCTCAGCCAGCAAGAAGCTGAGGCCTTAGAGTTACAACACCAGAAAGCTCGTCAAAAAGAGATCAGTACATCTGATAAGCAGCTTAAAGCTCGTCTACTACAGGAGAGGCGCGTTGCTCGCGCAGCTGCCGGAGTTGCGCGCGCGCGCCAGAGGGCCGATGAGGCCGCTGATAAACGCCTCCGACAACAGGCTCGTAAGGAGCAAAGTCAACTTCAGAAACGTATCAAATTGTCTCAAAAGGGTAAGAAGGAGCTCCTCAAGCCTCCGCGCAGGCCTTTAAAACAGAAATCGGCTCCTGTTGGTGTTGCAGAGCCTGCAGAGACTGATGAGAGAGCATCTATCGCGTCAACGTCAACGTCGCCCAGCGGCCGCGCAATCCGCACACCAAGTAGATTTTTATAATCTAAGTCGCCGGCAATCATACATAGGTCTACAAGACCTCAACTTTACAAAATCTTGTGATACTATCAATTGTACACGTCTCTATAGCCTCAAGTTGCTGGCGGCGCGATTGTGTTAGATAGATAGATAGATAGATAGATTGATCCTAACAAGACCAGCTGTCCCCAGAGACCTGCCTTTCCTTCCTCAACCACTATCTAAATATGCTTGCCGGCCCATCTAGATAATGGTTCTTATACTAATGTGCACTATCTTATAGGCTTCGTAGAGGCGCTCGCGCCTCGTTTGTCGCGTCTGCATACCTACAGTCTCCCCCCAGCGCTCGGCTTCATCTACGCGTCTGCGATCCCGAATTGCCCAAGGATCTGCGTCTGTTCCATATACTCGATAGCTTTGGTGGCTAGTTGTGGCTTATTAAGGATGGTCCGGAGGTTGTGTCGTCCCGGGCGGTCGCCGAAGATCCTGTTCCGGAGGTCGTTGTGCGTCCTGCAGTACAGCAGGACGTGGGCCACCGTCTGTCTTATCGCCTGTTTATATCTGCCACTTTTCGGCTGAAGATCACCCAGACACGCACCTTCGCCAACCCCTCGACCGTCCATGGTACGATTATTTATTGAGAGTAATTGCCCGATTTTTTTTCTTTTCTTTTTTTCGCAAGTATCATCCTCCTGGGCTTGTTAAGAGCTCGTGGAGTGAAGGCTTGCATACGAGTCAAGGGCACGTGTCGCTTGCTTATTGGACTGCAACGAAGCGTTGCGGTTGCACAGCATGAGTGACGTATGGGAATCAGTCAGCCAACTACAAGTTAAGTGTCGCGAGGGGTACATCAGACACTTTCCCAGCTAATGACCAGTCTCAATCCCAAGACAGCCATGGCCGCTGAAAATTTCATCCACGATCTTTCAGGGTAAGCCCGTCCATTTGAGGCTTCTCAATACAAGGAGAGAGCGATATGACCACACTATTATTGTCGACATGCTTGCTCCTTGTCTAAAGTCTCTGGCACCGACTATTAATTTTTTCTATTAACACATCGGAGATATCTATTCGCTGGTAATTTGTCGGATCTCACCTTGACCTTTGGCGAGACGAGCTGGCAGGTCCACAGAGCACTCGCATGCTGTCATTCTATATGGTTTCAGAAAGCCGTCAATATCGGCTTCAAAGCAAGTGGTTTAAGTCAACAAGACCTGGGTCTGAGCTAATGTTGTATTGTAGGAGTCGGAGAGTGGAGTGATCACGCTACACGATGATCCTGAATTTGCTGATGCCATCGACTGCATGGTGTCGTACTTCTACAAGGCCGGCTACGACGTCTCTCAATACGACACATCCGAATCCCTCCTTCATGCACAAGTCGCTACTATCGCCGACAAGTACGATTGCGCATCGCTCTACAAGCTTGCAAGAACTTCGTTCACGGATACTGTAAATGCTGTTGAGAGCAATGACTGGTTCGCCGTGGCAGCCTTAATCTACGACCACACGACACCAGACTTGTCAGCTCACAAGGAATTGCGAGGTCTAGTCGTTGCTGCCGTTGCAGATCGCCCTGATGTGTTGAAGGAGATCCTTCAATTAGAAAGCACAGCAGGATTCCTCCGTTCAAACGCGGATCTGGCGACCGATCTTCTCCTCAGTGGGCCGTATATATCTAAGATAGAAGACGTTGCAAAGTACATTTTCACATGTGGCAAATGTCAGTATGTTCATGTGGGATCTCGCAATTGCGCGCACTTGCCGTCTGGGAATACCTTCTACGGTAAGTCTTGCCCAAAGTGCGGGAGTCAGACTGGGGTAACGTCCAAACGACACTCATATCAAGTTGGACTGGTTGGGGCGTTTTCCTGTCCTTCTTGTGATGGACTTCATACGACGGAGCCTTTGCCTGAGCCTGAGCCCTTGACGAAGGATGCGGGCGATTGAAATAGATAAATAGGCAACACGTGTTTTCCAATGTCATCCACATCAGCGAATCAATGCAATTGCCCAACCTGCCCCTAAACCACACAAGAATAGAATGTTCAGAATTTGAGCGTAGGCAGAAAACGGGAACTAGAAGATGAACACAAAGAGGCCTAAGAACGGGAACCGGAAGCTTGCTGGATCCCAGATAAGACTCTTGCTGGGGTCCAGAAGAAGGTCACCAATCATGTCGAGAGGCTTTACTGTACATATCGCCTAACTACATAATGGTCTTCGTGGCTTGCTGCCATTGGAATGGTCGTCCGCTTCTGCCCTCCTCATGATATCATCATGAGTCTTGTAATTAGACATGATCAAGATTCGTGAGACTACACTGCCCGAGATAGTGACCAAGTATAAAAACCAAGTTCATGCAAAGAGAGCGCAAACGCTGACATTCAGTTAACCCAAAATCTCAGATATCTGGCCGACCCAACTTCATAGCCCGCCCCCTACACGCAGACCTTCCGGGCTGATCATCGTCTGGAAAATCATCTGCATCTCTATCTTCTTCCCAACATTGCTCCCAGTGATTAAACCTTGCTGGGGGACCTGGCTTCGTAGGTTTAGCCTCGTGGAACTCCCGGAGTTTACGTTGGCTATTCTTGAAATTAGATGCGTTGTACCAACTCGAGTCGGCCTCATATCCAGCCCACAGAACACGATACTGTAGGTTTGCGTGACGGAGACGGACTGCTAGAATCCGTTCTACCTCGTATTCGGTGTCCTCGTTTGGATTACTACAGTCAAACTCCAACTCTTGTGCCTTCTTTAAATTCTTAGCCTTAGCAGACCGGCTGTTGTGATGGTTCTCTGTGCCGTCGCTACTATCTTCAGCACCGGTGTCATTATCGTGCTGTATCCTAGAGATACATGCTGTGGGCTGTGCTTTGCGAGAGCGGCGAAGGTAAGGCAGTGGCTTCTGTTGTTTCGTAGCGTCTTTGGTAGCTGTAGGGCGCAGCTTTGGTGTCTTATTTGATGTACGACTGTGCCGCTTGTTGGCAATAGCACACACTGAAGCACCGCGTTTCGTTTTCGAACCAGTTGCGTGTCGTTCAATCTCCAGGCATAACCTCTGTCGTCGCTATCGCTCTCACTTTCACTATTACCAACTCCTCTTTCGATTTTTAACACTAGGTATTCACCTTGGTATTGTCAGACAGGACCGGTATTTGCAAATGGTAGAGGCTTACTTTGATCGACCACCCTCTCAATCTTCCGAGGCTGGGCATCCTGCGCCTCGCCATCGCTGCTGGTGAGATAGAGTGATTCGCTTACAGCGCGAGTTTGCGGAGCGAATCCGAGTCCTTGCTGCGGGACGCTGACGCTTCGATGTGCCCGGCTGTCATTCGATTTCGGGCCAATGACATTGTGTGGACCTATAGAGCACTCCTCCGAGGGGGGCTTTGGAATGGCCGCACTCGGACTCTCTTGTTTCCGGGAGCCTATTTCCGCTCGTACTGAGCGGTTTCCGCCATTATCATCACTGTCAATCGGTGTGTACGTCTGGCGGTCGTTATTTTTGGGCTTAAACTCTACAGAACGTAAGCAAGAGTTCGGATAAGCCATTCTGCTAATTCAGATAAGGTACTCACCTACAGTGCTGCACCTAGTGTTAGATCCTTGATTCAGACTCTCATAAATCATGAAGAGACCTTCTCTAGCAGATCCACTTGGCTCACAGGTGCTGCCACTCTGATCATCTCCCTTAGCTTTACGATCATCGTCACTATCATTAATAACAATCACATCTTCTAGCCATCATTAGTATTTACATACGCATGCTATTGTTAGAATCTGTTGAGAGCGCTTACCTTCACTGCTTCCCCTAAAAGGGGTCGTGTGACTTGCTTCTTGAGTTGTTGCCATTGAGACGTCCTCTCGCTCGTTTGTGGAGCTGACACTACCAACACCACCACTTCCTCTTCCACTGCCGTAAATCTCGTAGTTGGCTTCATTGTCGGCTGCGCCTGTTAGTTGTTATGCCAGAGCAAACCACGTCGGAGTAGGGGTACCGACCTGAGCACGTTGAATCGACAACTCCGACACCATGCGCCGCGCGTACAAGATCCTCCTCATTCCCCCTTACACTGTTCGAACCAGGCTCCTCCCCCAGAAACTCGTCGATATTGGGGTATTCGTCATCGCTGGGTGGGACTTTTTTCAACTGGCTACGTCGAGGTCCTGGCTTCGGCTCTGGAGGCCCCGTATAAGACAAGAATCGGAAGGAGCGTTGCGGCTGCTCCATAGGGATTGTGCTGCAAAGAGATGTCATTGCTGGAATTGGTCCTTAACTGTCCTGGGGGTTCGAATGAAGCGGTAAAGCAGAGGTTTAAGTAGGTGATAACTGCACACTTGGAGAACTTTCTACGCACGAGCTCGCACAGCCCCAATGCAAATTACGATGCGGCCTTTTGCATGAAGGCACTCAGCTGTCGGAACAAGCCCTGAGCAGGTATTCGGCCAATGACTGTCCAGGCACTGAGGATTGGTGACACCAACTCCGCGGAGTAAGGCCATGCCGTAGGAAGCGCCTCCTCCTTCTCGTCCGAGTCCGCCTTGGGATCGTGTGAGCCTGTAGGTAGCCGTTCCGTCTGATCCGCTCGCTCAAGCTGATCCGAGAGCTACTAGCGAATGCTCTCCACTCGCCGGCGACTCCGAGACCCAAATTGCGCTCTCATCTGGAATCTAAGCTCAAAATTCAGGCTCCAGCTAGCATGAACCGAAACGTTTGGGCAGATTGGCACCTGAACGGGCTCCTGCTGAGTCGAGAGGTTGTTCTAGCCTCTTCCCTCGATTTATCTGTAACGTCGGAATGCACACTGCCGCCATGCAAATAGTTACGCGGTCACAGGTCCTATCAATTGGTGGCAAGAGCAAACTGGGCGAGTACATGCCGATACTGCCTGCATGGCTAACCTGCAGATCGCGGCGTGGCCGAATCTGCCTCGTGTGACTCTCCAGTGAGACCGTGCCTGCAGCTAAGGCATTTCAGGGCAATAATCTCCCGAGACTTGCACCGTGAGTTTGCTAGGAGTCTAGCTGAAACTGAACGGGCTTGACCCCTCCCGCTGAGACGCCATTGAGGCGTGTGAGGCGCTTCTATTGCCATTCAGTGTGATTGATGACGTGGCAGGTCGAATCTTACTGGAATGAGTGACAGAAGGTACTCGTTCCCGGGCATTGTCGAGGCAGTACGTGGTAGCTGCCGCGAGGGACACTGCTCAATCACAACGAAGGCGCGAGAGCCAGGGCAGCCGAAATCCGGGAATCGACAAAGCTGCTCGTAAAGCATCGAAAACGGGTTGGGCTCCCTCGGACACGGCTCAGCGCCCTCATCGTCGGTCCAGAAAGGGGTGATATGTGGAGCCATCAGGGCAGTGCGGCGGCTGCAGGATCAGCCAAGGGGTGGGGAAATGCCTCACGGGTGAGTCCGAGCGACCAATAAGGGAGATTAAGGTGCGAGAAAGAAAAAGAAGTTGGAAGGAGGAGGGTAGGCCGGCGAGGGAAGCGTGCTTTTATGTGATGGTGTCGGCGCACGGGCCATATAAAAGCGGCGAGCTGCCAAGCGGGCCTCCATTTCCCGCTCAGGAAACCCCCATTCCCGGATGCGGTTCCACCACCACCAAGATAACTAATAATATTAAATGTGGTAAAAGTAGGCTTTAATGCCTAGATCTAAAGGCATGGATTGGATACCTAGTTGGCTATTAATTAACTAATATCTAGAGGATACAGATTCTCTTACTAGCTAAGGTGATTAGTACTT